CGGGGCGGGCGGTTCAGGGGATGAAAGCGGAAAGGCGGATGGTGGGGAAGCGGGACAGGCATGCGGGGAGGGTGCTGACGGGAAAGGCAGACGGTGCCTGTGGCGAGAGGAGGGAAAGCAGGAGGTGCTGGCACAGGTAATAGGGGTTGGATGTTTTCACCTTTTAAAACCACAATCTTTTTTTAATCACAGTGGCTACTGATTTAGGAAAAACAGAAAGAGGTGCTAGAGAAAGCAAGGGCACAGTTTGGCAGAGCTGCTGTGGAGAACACCCTGAGAGCCTGTGGGGAACCTCGGACCACTGTGGGCGTCTCCCACAGTGCTTTACAAAAATTACCACTTTGAAGTTGAGACATGTTTGGTCCTATAACTCTCTTTATCAATTCTGCACAACGGATCTGCTAGTCTAGAACTTAACTGAATACATTCTACATTGCTTTTAATTTCAGTTTTCCTAAAGCTGGATGGGAGTATTGGTGAAGATTCTAGATGGCTCCCAGGTGGCCTCCTGTCGTCTACTGCTCTGAAGGCAAACAGGTAATCACAGCAGCACGTTATTAGGAAGCTGACGTGTGTCTTTGCTATAAGTGGAATCATGTACAGAGTCAGGGGTTGAGTTGTTTTGCATATTTGAGCTGACCAACAGAATATCCAACTCAGGATAGTACCAAAAGTTTATCTTGACAGCTGGCAAAAGTTTCATTTCATAGAGCCAGACTTAATTTCATTTTCCACTGCTGCTTTGTGTGATACAAGTGAAGTAACATACCCTGAACGTACCATGATAAAAGAAGTGTTAGGAAGTCAGTTTCTCACCAGAACTTATAAATTAAAAATACAGATCTCACCATTTTATTAAGACGGTCACTGACAGTTTGTAAAAAAAAACATTCTAACATACATAAAAGCTTCAGGCCAGAAATAGCAAGGAATTGAAACAGTATTCCTCCCCGCCCCCCCACCCCGATACTGTAATACAAACTTCAGTTTGTTTGATTTAAATTGGCTTAATCTTGAAGTGTAGTCCAATAAGACTGAACACTAGACACTTAAGGTCCTGGACCAGGTAGTAGAACACTCTCAAGCCTTCTGGATCCCTGCAGTGCACAACAGAAGGAAGGGAAAAAAAAAAGTTAGATTGATGTTCTAAGAGAGCGGTTTATAGAACTAACCTATTAAAAAACCAACAAAGCCTATAGGGAGACTTTTCAGAGGTCATCTTAGACATTAAGATTTGTTTCATCCTGTATGGATTGATAAAACATTCTACAGTTCAAGTTTGCAAGTTGTAAGTCTTGACAAAATGTGCATTTTTATCATGAAAGCAAGCAGTGACATCACTTTGGATTTACAAAACACGATACCCAGTTTTTCAGCTTAGGTGAAACATAGAAGTCTTGGTTCTCCCAGAGACATTGGTGTGGACAGGCCAAGGACAGTTCAGTCAGACTCTGAATACGCCTAACAGGGGTTCCTACAGTAAGGTTAGCTGCTCGATGAGTTTGAAAATACAGCATGTAATGACACAGTCTGAAAGCATTTGGTACGTTATGTGGGAACACAGAGCACTTGTGCCCCCAGATTTGTACTTTGAAACAATATAAAATACAAGTACCCAATAACCAGCAAGTTCTAATATAGATTGTTACATAAAAACAACAGCAACACAAAAAAGCAGAGTACGTACTTGGATTGATTTACATCAATGAGTGAACCGATTTTTGACGTAGTAAAGGAGATGTGCTCATCACCAATTACTATTTCAAGCTCCTGAAAAATAGAAGATTATAAGAAGTCAAACTACCGCTTTATAATATTAGAAATACTTAAGTACTGAGATGATGGCTTTTCTATTTTTATTACAAAGGTATTGAATGCAGCAGCTCTGTGAATCATATTAACTCTCGCAACTAAACTGCCATTTAAGCACTGCACAGGTTTTAAAACAGTATTTGTTTCCCTCTTGGTTAGAAACAATACTGATGTGAAAAGAAAGTTCAGTTATGCTTCTAATGAGCTAACACATAAAAATCAAAACAGCAAGCAGAAAAGGCGCTGTACACCAACCTGTCGACCGACTCTGTCAGGAGGAGGCCATAGAGCATCATCTTCTTTGGTGATTTCACTGTCATCGATTATCCTTTTCAGCTCCTCCATCACGCTCTTATGCACGTAAGCCTGCAAACACCACTCCGGCGTGAAGAACCCACCCAAGCGCTACCTGGCCGCCGCCGCGGCTGCTCTACGCGAGCAGACCCCCACGCGAGCGCGCGGCTGTGCCGATTCCCCACGCAGCGCCCGCTCCAGG